TATGGCTATTAGAAAATTATCTATACGAGAATTGGCCATGATTGCCATTATTTTGGACGAGGAAGAGGAAAAAACACTAGATGTTGTAAATTGTATAAAAACTCGTAATTACGAACATATTCTATTAGTTGTTCATCCTCCCTTTTCATTAAGTCACAAACACTCACAATACACTAGAACACAAACACAGATCTCTTCGTCAAATGCAAAGAACTTCTGTGGAACGGGACAGCAACACAGTAGGCCGGATGCGCACAACGGACCGACACCTGCAAAATATTCTCGGCAGCCGATTTTTGACTGAACGTGCACGGTACGGTACGGTGTTGGCCGGTGACGTAACGGTGTAGTGGGCATTTTCTAATACTAAATGATGTAAAGAATATTTATTTGCATGTGTCGGTACGGTTACGGTCCTAGTATGATACGTTCTAGTAGGCAAAGACCTTTATGACATAGTTCACATACAACTAGGAAGGAAAATCAGGCGCCATGAGGTGCCCTGGTATGGCCTATCATGAATCTCGAATACAACTTCTCTCCTCCATTCTCGAGTTGCAGACTGCAGTTTGGGTTTTACAGTCTTAATTTATTTTCCCTTGTACTTACCCATTCAATTTGCAACTTTTTCTATAGTGTTTTTTCAAAGTGGCAGAGAAATCGTCGCAAGGCATTTGATTTATTTTCTTATTCTCTTTGTATGGACTTAGATACGCGCACGTTTTATTTATATACATGACGATGCAAGGCCCCTCACAGCTAGGATCGGTTGTGACTACTTGGAACGGGCTTCAATTCAATGTCAACCCTATCGAACTCCTTTGGGACGAGTTTTTAAAGACGGTAAAAAGTCGCCCAGTGGTTGTTGGAAGAGTATGAAAATATTCCACAGCACTACATCCAAAACCTCATAAAAATCGATGCCACGTCGAATGCAAGCGGTGATTAACGCAAGAAAAGAAAATACTCCGTCGTACTGAATTGAATATTTTCTTCATTGTTTCCATAGCAACACTTTTGATAAAATTACTTAACTCAGTTTAATTATTTAGCTATATATTATATTTTTCTTTAAAAATATCCAGTAACTAAAAAGTAATTATATAAGAATTATAACGATTGCAATTATTTACTAAAAAAAACTAGGGTGGCCACTTTTTTTGCCTTCCAGTGTATTTACTGCAGTGGGAAGGAACAACATAGATATGGTTTCAGTTTTTAATAAATCTTCTTGATTGAACCGTCAATACAAACATCTTTTTTTCTTTTAATAATTATTTTATATAGTATATAGAAAAACGTAGATGTTGGAATTTCCTGAATTTCAATCCAGTTGAATGCAAGAGTTCAAAGGGACAAAGTTCCTCCACGTTTTCAATTTGTTAAGTGCTTAAAATAGCACAATGTTTAACTATAATTAAGAAGAATTGTTCAAATTAAATTCATCATCTTGTGCTTCGTGCAAGTTCAACTTCTCTCGGTTGTTGATTTGCCGTCCATCATTGCTTAACGTAGGGTTTGTATTTGTGTTGCATTTGTCTTCTATAATACGCTGATTTCCTCATTTCTCACAGTTATTTTTATGATTTCAACAAAATCGTCGGAAGGTATTTCCTTTATGTTCTGACCTTTGTAAGCATTTGTGGCTGCTTTGCTTGCTTGTTCATCGCTGACGATTTGTGCTTTCATCGGCATACTGATGCGTGGGAACGTATCGAAGCGTTATCGTCGTTTGATAAAGATTCAACGCGTCGTGCGCCTTGTATAATGACTATTGTGAACCTATCTCGAGTTGTTATACAATCCTCGGCTACAAGACTTTTCTTCTGTCTCTGGCAAGTAAACAAAGACAGTGTTTACGGGTAAATATATATTTACGCCCGTAAAAGCCGACGGGTGAATCATTTTTAACAAGCTTTTCTATCTTGGGTTTTATTGACCATGCGAAAATATAACTTGGAAAAAACGTGTAAATTTATTATAGCGTAAAAGGAAAATTAATAATTAATTTATTATAAGGAGAGCCGATCGCTTTGTTACGTTTAAAGAGGTCGGTAAAAAAGAACAAATACATGATCCAGTTTTTCTTAAAAATCAAATATCAAGGAAAACTCATTGGCTTTTTAAAAATTTTACTACCATATAGCAGCTGTCATAGTTGTTGTCAGTAATAGTTTAAATAGTAAAAGACAACTTTTTCACACAATACAGTATTTTTAAATAGTTAGTGTTAAATATTTAAAATTCTTTACAATAAATCTAAGGTATATTATTGATTACAGGACAGATATTATAATTACAGGATAGATAATAAGTCTGCCAGGTGAGGTATATGAGTCAACCACTAAGCAAAGGTCAATTAATTAATTGCTTAAAAACTTTACGCCGTAAGGTCAGAACACACCGCCCAGTGCTGAAAAGGATTGCGCCACTGCCTACATGGCTCCTTATCTCCCGAATTCACAAAATGGGCAGGAGGCGAATTTGGGAAAAAAAACGGGACAATGAACAAAAAGGTAATGCGTTTTTCATTATAGCCGGAGGTCCGTCTTACCTCGTTGACCATAAGACATTCGAAAAACAAGAAGGTCGTGAAGCGTGTAAGGGCCAACACGCGATGGTTTGCATAATGTTTTCGATTCATCTAGCACACAGAGGGAGCATTACACAACCATTTTATGCAAGAAACATAATGGCCTTTTACCGGCTCCCTTTATGACTGTGAAACTCATGAATGAACGGATTGAACTAAAAAAACCGTGGAAAATGATGAACGACAGGTTTTTAGGTGTAGTACCATTGCGATATCCAGCCCCTTTGAAAAGTCCTAACGAATTGTATTACATACAATATATTATACCTACCTACACAGTCTGCATGTGTCTTCTAGACTATACTTTTTTTATATTACATCCCATAGTTTATATTTTTTTTTTTTTAATTTTGTACATTTAATAATAAAAAAATCAGTTCCTTTGTCAAGTTTTCAAGGAATATATCATAATACAATATTATATGTTTATATTTGTTAACCATGTGAATTATTAAAAACAGTTTCAGTCCTGATGAAGGGAACAAATTATCCTATATTATCCTCAAAAGCTTTACTTGGGGAATGGATGTTTTCTTTCCTTTCAAATTGGCCTTACCCCTCGTTTTCTAATAAGAAATTAAAATCTTAAAGGCTGATTTTAATTGCATCGAGCTTATTGTTTAAAAGTTAAATAAAGCCTCACAACGACTGACAACAATCAAGCCAAGTGGGCATCGGTGGCCGCAACGGTTTAGGCGTTGACATTGCGCTCATCACTGTAAGGTAAAGGTCCCGGGTTCGAATCCAGCGGCCCTGCATTCGAACCCGACATACTTACAAATGGGCTTTTTTCAAAAACACCGGCACCCCGAGGGTTGATATAACCTCTGCTGTTGCACTCTCGTTAAAATTTTTAAAAAAATCAATCCAACCCTGATGAGGGTTGCGTTTTAGTTAATATATATTTTGTCCATTAATCATTTATTTTGTTCCCATAAAAAATTATAAAAATTTGGTACTTTTTAAATAATTATTTTTTCATAATTCTCATCACTGATTCTGGACTACTAAAACTAAAATATTTAATGTTTGCACATTTTTCTCCTTACTACTTTCTAGCTTTGGTAGATATTCACTGTTTTACACCACAAATTTTAGTTAAAAACTAACAATATAAATATTTTTCAATTCTTTGTCTGTTTATGGGCAAGCTGATATTGAGTTGCTACGTGAAATTTTGGGGTTTACAGAAATGAAAAGATTAAAAAATATTGTTGCAAAAGATGTTCTGACAGAAGATTTCATATTTTATAAATCTACGACCAACCACTGAAAATTAAGACAAGATACAATTATGAAAGTAGGTGATGAAAGTGACAGGCAAAACCTGCAAGAATATCACCAGGTTCAATTCTCCCTATATTTCGCAATTAAAAAATTACTACTATTTACACATTTTTTTTTATAAGAGCTACAGCTTTCATTTAGAAATACACCACCAGCAGGGAAATGCAATTAATTACATCGAGTAAATAGAAAATCGAACATACGTGTCTGCAGCAATACGACGACCTCGCAGCATGTGTAAGTAAACATAACATCAACGTATGATACATTATGTTGCGAACTTGACAATTTTTGAAATTTGCGAAGAATCAAATTTCTTTCCGAATTGACGGGGGGGGGGCCTTCTCTTTATTTTGACCAGATAGAATTTATCGGTCCGCTTACCATCTGTTTTCCTCTTTCGGCCGAGTTCCCACGGATGGTGTCCATTACTATCTAAGGTTCGGAAGTATCGCGTTAAATCTTAGAGATTAAATAGAAAGTCCAAACCCTTTGTTGAAGGGCATTTTCCGCGGTCCTTACGTTTTTAAAAAATAATTACTACTGTTAATTTAAAAAGTTTTTTAAAAATTAATTCTTTAAAGTCGAAATTTTGAACGTTTTTTTCAGCAATGGAAAAATGATTATTTATTTTTATGAATTGTATTTTATGAATCCTTTAAAATAGGAAATTCTCGTAGTTTTTTAACAATCGATTATACAGTTTGTTTTCCGTTGATTAAATCCTTAAGATTTTCACTTATTTGTATAGAACCGAATACCAGAACTATTTCATGACGAAAAGTTTTTCCATTTTTGAATTTTTACACTTGACGATGGTTTGGTTTAAGCAGCAAAACATGGAGCAACAAAACTGTAACACGTGGAATTATAATTTCGAATTTTAGATCGATTACCATTCGATAAATAATCCTTTCATTTTGCCCCAACTATACAGAAAACATTTTACAATGATCCGAAACAAATTCCAAAAGCACATAAATTTACCGTGATTTTTCTTCACTCCTGTTTTGCATTCTCTCCGTTTATCAAGAGAAAAAAGACCACGGCTAAATAAACGTTTATAATAATTTTCTAGTATATTACTTAAATATTAAGCTTAATACAGAAATGTACTTACAGGTTGGAAGAACGGGTCACTTACCTGAAAAGGAAATTACTATTAAATCATTTACGTATTTAGTAGTCATAATTGACCGTATTAATTATTTTAATCTAAGGTCTTGGTTGAGATGTTCTAATTAAATAGCTCAAGTGGTTCGAGCAGCGGTATATGAGCCGAAGGTCGCGGGTTCGAATCCCGCTCGTGACACTTGCTTTTTCATCACAACCATTAAAATTATAATTAATTAAAAACTATTAAATAATGTTCACAGTAATTAATATAAAATACTACAGAGCTACTGCAAAATAACGTTGGCCAAAAACTATTTGGATGAGGAAGATATGAATGCCAAAATTAAATTTTCTTACAATATTTCCTTCCTCTTTTCCATATTTGCATAGTTTTGTTTATACTACTATTCTTGTCTTTTAATCCTTTTTAAGACTATGTTTCGACACTTTATCCTAATATAATTTGTAACTGCAAATTTTTTTAGCAACTTCAACAAAAATTCTTTTTTCAGTTTTGTTTTGTTTCATATAAAATGATGAATGCAATGTTTATGGTGAAAGTGTCAAAACGTAGCCTTGAAAATTGTATGAATGTACAATTCTAATTTTTTTTTAAGTAAAACGTTATTAACAATAAAAATAGTAGTTAATTCAACTTAAAGAAATTTTTTTTTTTGCACGTTTCTTCCAAGGATATAAAGATACATAAATGATTTGGGATTCATTTAAAAAAAAATTAATTCTGAAAATATAAATCTTAATATTTCAGTTTCGAAATTTTAATTCACTCGAGAAACAGTGGAGAAGGCTAGATTTTACCGGTTGGAAACGAGTGAACAGACTTCAGGGATTTTAACAGCAGAGAACAGATGTGAGTGTAATTACCTAAAGGGCTTTAACCCCAGAACCCCAGTTCCTTACAAGTAACCAGCTTAAAAAAGCTTCTAAAGAAGCCATGCACATGTAGACCTTGTCCGTCTCTAGTCAAACAGAACCAAATTGTAATGCCTATCGTTAATACCGTAAAATTACCTGTAACTTTGTAAATAACGTCAATTGTTTAAAAAGTGTCTCAGTCTTTATTCACCGCAAACAACACTGACAAGACCTCTTCGGTAAGAACATTGTTGTCAAATTTACAATTTATGCTGATATTTGAATACGTTTATCGAATTAGAAGACTATACGATTAGAAAAGAGAGGAGAGAAGAGGTTTATTTTGACAGGAGTAAGCAAATAAAAATGCAACTCTTATCACTATTAACTTCAACACCATTATCTCCTCGATGAGAGGTGGCATATGTACTGCGTACTGCCGTATTTGACTTGTCTAATGGGCATTATTTTCGATCTCATCAAGTACTTTAACACTGAACGTTTAGTTTTTTTTTAATTTAGTATTTTCAAGATGTTTTAATTGAATTATTTTTAATTTGTCATGCCAAGATAAAAATATATTCCATCCAGAAGATGTTGGGCAAATAGTGAATTTAATTATATATCACGGTTCGACAATAAGTTAAACCTCGTATTTCGAATCGAATGATATTCCGTTCTTCTTGTACATCTTCAGGACTATTCGTGAAGAACATGCGTCATTCGTAATGCGTCAATAAGTCAAGAACCGATGTAAATATTAAAACGCTCACAGTGGCATGGGTGAAACACGATCGCGACCATTGGCTATGATGGATCCGTTGTCGCATTTATTTATAAACCACTTAAGCCCAAGAATTCGTAATACAATCTACATGTTGATTTCTGGCAAATTTGAAGATTGAAAAGTGAAAAAAATCGAAAATTCACGTCTAAGTTTACCCATCTATCTAACACATTTAGGAAAAAAAAACTTGGAATTTCAGGCTTCCACCGGTGACGGAATTTGAGCAGTTCTTTGAACAGGCATTTAGCTTAACGGTACAGGACGAAGGAATTGTAAAAATATCCTTCGCCCGGCCCACATGGACCTAATTTTTAAACGCTGTATACAAAAAGTCTTTTCATACCGTGAAAACGTCGTACTTTAATAACTGTGCTTCCGGAACGGTTAAATATGTCACAAAAGGGGCATTTTACAAATCTGAAGAAAATCAAGTTATATAACTGACAAAACTTCTTGTTGGAAATCAAAGCGGAATAACATGTTGACTTTCCACTATTTTGCATATCGAATTCGTAACTTATGTAGTTAGCAATCTTTTTTATTATTGTTGGTTACATAGAAAGGAGTAAAAAAATTTACATGAAATTTCTGTCTTTTAAACAAGTTAATGAAATATTTATTATCTATATACATACTTTTATGTTCATATTACATACTTTTATGTAGTAAACAATCATTTTAGCATTGTTCGTAACATGAGATATTTTTTAGAACGTCATAAAGTGCAAGTTAATTTATAAATAATGACCTTCGAAAAACAGTTAATGAAATATTTATTATGCATGTACATACATTACGTACTTTTATGCAGTTTGCACAATCCTATTATTATAGTTGGTAAAATGGAATTTTTGGTCATAAAGATGAATTTGCATTTCATAAAATGTCTAATTGTCTCTTAAAGAAGTTAATGAAGTATGTGTTATCTATAAACATAAATTACATGTTGCATACTTTCATAAGCTGTACGATTGCTGAGCCAATTCATAGTATAAACCAACTAAACTAACATTATATTATTTAAAGTGTCAAAATTGTCTGAACAAGTGAATCCCAGAGAAAGTATTTTTTTTTTAAATCAATGGTTATCATTGTTATAACCATTTTTTATTTAATGAGTAACACTACTATTTCTATAAATATGTATTATCTTTCGTTGGCTATTATATAGTGAACTTAATTCCTAATTATAGCTGTCGCATGGAAGAGTCGATGATATTTATGTTGATTGATTTTTATGATTTTTGATGATTTTTATGTTAGGTACGATTTTAGTTCTAATAATGTAAAACAATTTACATTCACAATTTTTACGTTACAAAAAGTTGTTAGTTTCGAAGTTAAGTTTCTAGGAGAAAGAACTTCGTAATCGATTACTATTTAAACTAAGACTTGGGCAATGTACAGAGCCGTACGAAGGGTGAAACAGCACCAAGATTGATTTCCAATAAGTGGTTCATGATTTAACAACAGTTGCGCGGCGAAACATTTTATAAACTAAAAGAACTGTTACGTTATAATCAAACTGGAGAAATTCAGAAAACACAAATTATGAAAAACTTAAATTTCGTATGCCTGCGAGTAGACGAGAAATGGTTGAACGATTCCGTCATGTGAACGAACACACAGGTTGTTGTTAGCGCCCGAAAATAGAAACTATCCAAATTTTCTCAACAAATACAAACTACGAGAGAAGAAATAAATTCAAATAGTGCAAATTTGTTTTTTCCCGTTCAACCGACTCTTTTGGCCAAATTAAAACTCGTCAGAAGAGGTCAATGCTCTTTTCCTTAGAGAATATGAACAGTCCGGCACTTCCTTCTGGCCTCAATTAGATCCTCATTAATGCAACTCCACAGCGGATCATTTATTTGCAAGCCATGTGAAATTTAAACAAGAGATTCGTCAAGTTTATATCAAACCTTCTTACTATACGTTTAAGAAATATAGTTCTATCTACAGCTCGCATATAACTATTTTCTATTATTTCCCCTTAAAAACATGACTTCAATGTCACATATCCTAAGAATATACCATACATGTACCACCATTTTAAAACGGCTATACAAACTTTGAGTGCGCTGAAAGTCAGCTGAAAATTCTGCTTTAAATTCTAAAAACTAAAAAGAATATTATTTCTTCTTTTATCGTACCAAAACGACAAACAATTCAGAATACAATAGACGGTACAATATGTATTGGTTTAGAAATTTTAAGCTGTTCATTTAAATATCGTAATTTCTTTTAAATCTACTTAAAACTTTGTACAAACTTCTACTCCTCTTCTTTTTTTGGTTGAATGTCTTTTCTGCGATGACAGATTTGAACAAATAAATTGGGAACTGCTTCAACGCATTTATTTATCGATGCCCATGCATTTCGGGGCCTATCTGACTCCTTTGTTCAGGAATCGTTGGAGTAATGGACAAATGTCTTTATTATTTACTTTTTTGTTTACATAATGTTGTTTTAAACTGTTTACGAAGGTAAAGACATGCATTACCATTGGTTTTGAAACCATTGTGGGTCGTTAGAAAAAAAAAACTTTTTTAAACTTAAAACAGGGGACATCAGTAAGTTAGATGGGATCCAAAAGGCCGTCATTTAACAAACTTTAACGTGAAAAATATGCTAAAATACAAAAATGTAAACTATTCATATTCAACAAAGTTCATTTTTAAAAAATTAAATCGTTTCTTGAATTATTTTGTACATTTTTTTTGTCCTGAGTTTTCGTCTTAGAGGTTTTACACTTTTTCCAACTTTCCAAAGGCCACCCAAAAATATTTATTTTTAAACAAACAAAAGAAAATCGATACTGTGACAAACTATCTTTACGCTGTGTGTAGCGAACCAGTCCACGAGCAGGGTGGCTTTCCCTCGTTGGGCTAAAAAAATTAAGTGATCCCGACAACGATTTGGCTTCTAACAACAGGTGAAAGTGAATGTCTTTTTTACTATGTTCTGTCGAATTGTTTGGAATGGAAAACTAAAATCTATAACGAATAGTGGAAAAGTCTTTATTTTTCGATAAAATGTTAGGTTGAGTTTATAATTTAAAAAATGAACTTCGAATTCCCATTCCAATTGAGAGATTTTTATAAACTAGTTTAGTTTCACGCAGTGAATCTTAATAAAATAAATTATCATATAACTAAACTTTAAGAAAGTTTTGTTGCGATAACTTTCAGTTTATTGAAAGTTAGTTATAGTCAAGTTTATTACATTACATTTTCCCATTTTTTTAGTATAATCTGGTCGTTTCTGGTCACAATCCCCGTTGTTTTGGTCTGACAGGAGTGTTTCGGTTTGTCGCCATCTTTAGTGATGATGGGGTTTGACCAACCATCAGTGGACATATACAC